AAAATCGCATAACAGCCGAGCATACACCCAGCAGCGCTGCTGATGCCTGAACGGTATGTGGAATGAAGTGGGCGGGCATCGGGAGGCCACTATGGCACGGGGCAAGCACTATGGGCAGTCTATCTGAAGTGTACCTGGCGTATAAGACGACCCCCCACTTGGAGGCATATTTTTCAGGGCCAAAAAATCGTCTTATACGCCAGCAAATACGGTATACAGACCAGACAAAAGTATGTTTACAGTTGTGAGCATGTGAAACAGTTCATTCTTATTTTTTGACTTTATTTTAATTGTTGACACTATTACAGATGTCCCCATTCTCCCCACCTTTGCCCACCTCTACCCAACTACCCAAGCCCCTCACTTCCCTCTGGCTAGCACCCCAATGTTGTCTGTGTCTATGGGTTATGCATATATGTTCTTTGGCTAATCCCTTCACCTTCTTTCATTTTGTCTTCCCTCCCTCATCCCCTCCATTCTTGTATTACTATTTATAATCATTATATTACTGCCATATGAAAGATGATAAACCTACTTTTGCCCTACTATGTATATATAAAGCCCTAAAATGATAAAAATGAGGAGGATCCTAACAGACTCCTTAAATACCTCCTATAATGCAGGCTCACTACTTGTCAGAGGCCCTGAATATGGGAGGCTTTTCAGATGTTAAGGGTCACTGTCCACTGTTCCTGGGGTCCCAGATCAGACATATTGCAGAGAATAGATGGCCATCCTCAAGGTTACCCTTACATTCTCCTAGGAAACATGGTCTCTGACCCCTCCCGCTGGCTCTCCAGATGTGCTTCTAATTGTCAGAGTCCCCTGCCCCAGTTAAGGTCCAGGGATGACCATGGAGTTGCTGGGTGGTGGCCTGAGCTCAGGATGGCATGGACTCACTCCAGCCCCTGCTCATGCAACCAGTGTGCTTTAGTTCTGAGCAGCCATGGTTCAAGGGTGGACTGGGTTCTAAGTCCCTTCAACATTGTCTTTGACACAAGAACCCAGCCCACATCCATCCATCCATGCAGTTGGACACTTTATGTCAATAAATTCCACCAGGAAGAAACCAAGATGGTGGCATAGGTAAACACCAGAAATTGCTGCCTCCCACAACAAATTCAAAAATACAACTGGGAGGCCAGGGGATTGTCAAGGGCGGGGAAAAAAAGGACACATATTAACCCTTTGTAATACTTTAAGCAATAAAAAAAAAAAAAGCACCAGGCACTAGGCTTAAGCCTTCGTATGCATGATGTCATTTAATCATTGCAACAACCCTAGGAGGTAGGAAGGAGCTTGCCAGTTAAAAACAAATCCTTCCTCAAAACCACACATGTCCCTTTAGATGCTGCCTTTCCCTATCTTTTACAATCAAACTCCCTATAACACTTACTATCCCTATGTCCTCACTTCCCACTCACAATTCTACTGTCTTCAGTGTGGCTTCCACCCCGTTATTCCATCAAAACAGTTTTCTGTAAGGCAGCCATTTTTAACCAGTGCGCCGCAAGAATTTAAAATATAAGCAATACCTGATACTTAGTTAGGGACACTGACCTCTTTTCCTTAGATTGTTAAATAAAAAACAACAACAGGCAACACACACACACACATACACAAAATTCAACTAAAAGACAAAACGGACATCATCCAGAACCACAGGAAGGCTGGCTGAATGGAAATTCTACAACTATAAGGAAAGAGAAAAGCACACTGAGACTCAGAGGAGGTGCGGAAGTGCAGAGGTACGGAGGCGCACGCAGCAAGGGCTGGCAACTGAGGACGCGACTGTCTTTTTGAATCAAGAAGGAGTCACAAGCCCCCGACTGCTCTGAACTCCAGTTCTGGGTGAGTCTCTGGGGACCTAGACTCATACTAGGAGAAACTGGACTGTCTGGCAGCGGGCAGAAGTCGGAACTCAAGGGCGGCTTTCTCTCAAAGGTGCTTGCAGCAATTACCGGGACACTGAGACGCGGGGCCCCTTACGGCAGGGCTGAGGATCAGCCATAGCTGCTTGCTCTGCCCTGTTGATTCCCTGATACCTCGCCCCACCCAATCTGCGGCAGAGGCTTTTGCATATGAATGCCCTGGCCCTTTGCAATCTGAAAATTACCTAACAAACTGCAGCTGGGCCAGACAGACCCAGAACTTCCAAGAGAAGGCCCAAGGCCCCACAGCAGCTTGCATTGCTTCACAGATGGGGCACATTTGAGCACCTCTAAACCCCAAACAAGGAAGGGGAATCTGCAGATCTCTTCATAGCTCCTGCTGGGTAGCCTCAGGCAGAGGCTAAATTAGCATCTCCTTAGATCCAAGAGCCAGTGTACCCAGTGGTCAGATTGGGACCATCCAATTACAACTCCTCAGATCCATAAGGGACACACTCAGGGGGGCAGACTCAGTGAGCACCAAAACCCCACTGAAGCAAGTCTTGCCTCATAAGAATGTCTTCAGCACAGAAGTTCTCCCACCGTAGACACAGCTGATTCTCACAGCCAATTGGCCTGGAGGGAAATTCCTC